TTTTGAACAAATTATCTCTAAAACTTAATTATTAAAAACTTCTTTAGTATGTATTTATTTACAAGCTGAGTGACCTCAGGGTTTATAGTGCATTCTAATCTCCCTAGTAGTCCCTTCATGCTAGAATGAAACAGTTAAAGCCCTAAGTAAGTGCACTGAGAAATATTCTTCAAGCATTCCAGTACAATATAAAACAAAAGACAAGCTCTAGTAAATTTCAATTAGACTCAATGCCTGATTTTATTTATAATCACTAGGCATTATGGGTACATCTATTAGAAATAACAACTATAGTCCTACATTCCAACATATTTTTGTATTGTACAAATATGTAACTTTTGCCTTTTATAGAAATAGATTTAATAAATTTTTTTGTTTTAATATAGGACTATCAAGAATGAATTATACTTTCATTTTTGGATACATACAATTCACTGAGGATAATGATGATGGCTACAAAAGTTAAATTAACAAACATCTTGGAATATCACCATTAGGGTGACAGCAAAGAGTGTCATAACCTCACTCCCATCTGCTCAGTTCAGTTCAGTTGCTCAGTCGTGTCCAACTCTTTGTGAGCCCATGAATTGCAGCACACCAGGCCTCCCTGTCCATTACCAACTCCTGGAGTTTATTCAAACTCACGTCCATCGCGTCAGTGATGCCATCCAGCCATCTCATCCTCTGTCATCCCCTTCTTCTCCTGCCCGCAGTCCCTCCCAGCATCAGGGTCTTTTCCAATGAGTCAACTCTTCGCATGAGGTGGCCAAAGTATTGGAGTTTCAGCTTCAGTATCAATCCTCCCAATGAACACACATCTGCTAGGGGATGGCATTTAATAAAAAGGAAGAAAGTAACAAACGCTGCTGGAGAGTGGAGAAAAAGGAACTCTTATATACTGAGAAGGCAAGAAGTAACAGATGCTGGTTTGGGAGTGGAAGAAAAGGAAAACTTGTACACTGTTGGTGGGGATATAAACCAATATAGACCCTATGGAATAGCACAGACATTCCTTAAGAAATTACAAACAGAACTACCATAAGATCCAGCAATCTCACTTCTGGCTACAGATGTCGAAAAGAAATGAAACCATTATCTAAGAGTTATCTATAATCCCATTTTTACTGCAGCATTAATCACAATTACAGGGATATGGAAACACCCTAAGTGTCTGTCAATCTGTCAGCAGATGAATAGTTCAAGAAAATTTATACATACACACACTAAAATATGGTTCAATCTTAAAAAAGAAGGAAATCCTGTCATTTGTAGCAACATGGGTGAACCTGGAGGGCATTATGATAAGTGGAATAAGTCAATATAGAAAGAAAAATACTGCTTGGACTCACATAGAAGGAATCCCCTCCCCTACCAAAAAAAGAGAGAGAGTGCACGAAAGTCTTAATTTATAGAAACAAGAGAGCTACCAGGTATTGGAGAGTGGTGGAAGTAGGTAGAGGTTGGTAAAAGTTTACATAGATTTAGTTATATGATGAATAAGATCTGAAAGTCTCATGTGTAACATGGTAACTACAGTGGATAATACTGAACTGTATAACTGAAATTTACTACAAGTAGAACTTAGAAGTTCTCACTGAAAAAAAAAAATAAGGTAAATATGTGGGGTGGTAGTACATATGTCAATTAATCTGATGGGAGAATCCTTTCACAAAGTATACATATATTAAATTATCACATTGTATAATTTAAAATGTCTTATTTTTTTCATCAATTATGTCTCAGTAAGTCTTAAAAAAAGATTAAAAACAAAAAAGAAAGGAAAGTTGATCAAGATACTAGAGGAACAACATACAGTTTTAAGAATTAAAATACAGGGACTTCTCTGGCAGTCCAGTGGTTAAGACTTTGTACTTCCAAAGCAACATGTGTGGATTTGATCCCTGGTTGGGAATCTAATATCCAATAAACTGTAAGGTGGGGCCTAAGAAATACATAAAGTACTACAGAATGATGGGACTACATGTATGTTAGTTCAGTTAGGTAACTGAGTAGTGAATAATTGTGAGTTTTGCTTCATTTAAGGTCTTGGGTTTCAGAAATTTTAATTTATTAGCCAATTCTAAAGCATAATATATGTGAGAGCGTTTGGAACAGTTCTTATTACAGATACAAAGAGATTTCTATATTAACGCTAGTTTTTAGGAAAGATTTGAAGGTCAAGACCTTAGCACATACATCTTTGTAGTTTTCTATGGATACTTCATTTACATATTTAGCACTCTAACAAGGTGCTATGCTAAATAGTTGGCATTTGTGGGAAGAACTCTAATATATTTACATAGCTTTTCTATATTTTGTCTTAATTTATTTTCTATAGTCACTTTTGAAATGCCTACCATAGTACAAATATTCTTGTTGAAGAAGAAAAAAATACCTACTAAAAGCATCTTTAGACAATTTGTTCCAATTGAATCCAACACAAAATAAATACACAAAACTCCAAATAAAGCCATAATCATTGCTTAGACTGCAATAAAATCATCAGGATTTTCACAAAACAAACTAAAGTATAATAGTAAACTGCTTTCTTTTTTTTTTTTTTTTTTCAGTAAAATCATCAGTGTTTTCATAATGGAAAATGTGACTATAATCACACTGAAGAAATAATGAAGAATCATAAAAATAAATGATCTCTTCTATTTAACATTTTGTTGCTAGCAATGTCACACAGACAAATGTCACAGAGATTATTTCATACTTCAGCCTAAAGTAATTCTGAATCTTCAAGAGCATGCATTTATTTTTGCCCAACAGCAAGTCATTTGAACGATTGCACATCGAATTCTGTCCACATGAGACAATTGCTACTGTCAGTTTCATTGTTTTCTTGCATGTGGTATCAGTGAACACTGTTGAAACTCTGAAGCCAGAGACTAAATGTCCCCCTGCTGCCAAAATGTATATGTTGAACCTAATATCCAATGTGAGGTTATATGAAGGTGGGGACTTTGATAGGTGATTAGGTCACGAAGGTAAGCTCTCATGAATGTGACTGTGTCCTTATAAAGGAGGCTCTTGAGAGAACTCTGCCCCCATCTGCTATATGTGGACACAGTAAAAAGATGGCCGTCTATGATCCAGAAAGTGGGTTGTCAGTAGACACAAAATCTGCTGCCACCATGACCTCTGACTTAGAGCCTCCAGAACTGTGAGAGATATATTTGCTGTTATAAACTATTCAGTCTGTGCTATATTTATACATATAGAACCATAGCAGCCTGGATGCACTGATCCACCAGGCAGTCCTCTGCACAGTGCTCTACACCTCATGGTGTGCCCTTGCTAATGTCTGCAAAGACTTCCTCCTGCTGGCATGTTTCAGTTGATGTGTCTTCATGCAGATTTAATTTTTCCTCTCCCATTATAATTCATGCAACACCTAACAGTGTTAACACAAGCCTCTGTGTTGGGTATTTTGGGAAATCCAAGATGAGTAATAGTTGCTGCATTCAAGGAACTTAAATGACTGTGAGCATGTACGGAGTGCGTGCGTGTGTGTGTGTGTGTAATGGAGAAGGACAAGAAGGTGCGCAAGGCAGAAATAAAAGCAGTGAAAATATATTTTTTCTTTCTTTTTAAAACCTATAATATAAAATGTGAAGGAATTTTCTGAAAGGTCAATTTTTGAGAAACACCACATTGATAAAGCCTGAACTGCAAGTCAACAGTTATGAAAGGAATACTGAGAGAAAGCATATCATAACCATTTGAGGTTTATCACATGAAAACAGTACACTAGCCCTGAATATTTTTTCTTGCCCCTATCCCAGAGAGATTATTGGAATGAATAGCCAAGGATAAGGTGACAGACAAGTTCCTAAAACACAGAGTGAAAAAACACAGTATGTACTATTTCCAGGACTGCAGGCCATGAAATCAGAAGATGCTGTGCTTCATGAAAGGAAAGTTATGACAAACCTAGACAGCATTTTAAAAATCAGAGATTTCACTTTGCTGACAAAGATCCATATAGTCAAAGCTATGATCTTTACAGTTGTGAGAGCTGGACCATAAAAAGGCTGAGTGCAGAAGAATTGATGCTTTCTAATTGTGGTGCTGGAGAAGACTTTTGGAAGTCCCTTTGACTGCAGGGAGATCAATTCAGTAAATCCTAAAGGAAATCAACCCTGAATATACATTGGAAGGACTGATGCTAAAGCTGAAGCTCCAATACTTTGGCCACTTGATGTGAACAGCTGACTCATCAGAAAAGACCCTAATATAGGGAAAAACTGAAGGCAAAAGGAGAAGAGGTGAGCAGAGAACGATATGGTTGGATAGCATCACTGATTCAATGGACATGAACTTGCGCAAATTCCAGGAGATGGGTGAGGGACAGGCAGACTTGGCGTGCTGCAGCCCATGGGGTCACAAAGAGTCAAGACACAACTTAGCGACTGAACAGTAAGTTCCTAACATTTCCCTTTATTTAATATAAGTTCATCCTTTTTTTCATTCTTCTTCACATTAAGAACCTTTTTAGTATATTAGTTCAACTCTGAGAGCTATTCACTGCTCTAGTATTACTACTACTACTTCATGTCAAACCACTGGTTAACTCTCAATAACAGATACTGATGATGACCAGGTATGATTAAGCCTCCAATAAATTGCAACACCCACCAGTTTTTAGTACTAGTAGTACTGTCTCTAGGATCAATTTCATAACTTTTTTTTTTTCCCCCACTCTATTCTAAAACTCTGTGAGGGTAAAAGTATTTTCCAAAATAAGGTCAATCAGCCTGTCTGTAATTTCATCCTAGGCCCCTTTCTGGCAATGGATTCTAAGTACCTATGTGTGGATCAAGTATATTAAGCCTTATGTAAAAGGACTAATAAATATACCATATGCAGACTGATGACAATAAATAATATACTATACTCCTTCTGTTGAAGGTAGTGAGAACAATCAATGGAAAAAAAAAGGTAAAATTACACAAGAACCTGATAGGCTAAGTCAAGAAAGAAATATTGAGAACTTACACTTGGAGCACTGTCCTTGGGTCTCCAACTTCACCCCCATCACCAATTGTCAAGGTATCATAGCCAATTTCCAGGTCAAATTCTTCAAAATTTATCTGGATGACCTACCAATGAACAGAAACAAATATCTCAAATATATCTCATTATATATTAAAAGCAAACAAGAGAACAAAGGCAGAAAAACATTAAAATGCCTGTAGACATATTATATATTTATATGTCCATAGCTATCTATATAAGAATTTCATACTATGACAGGAAATCATATGATAATATTTCTAATGTTCAATCATTATAATTATAATTTTATTTACAATATAATATCTTCTGTTAATAATTTTTCAATGATATAACATGATTCTCTTTATAGAACATTCTTATCTAAGGAATTTGAATGTAAATCTAACTTGAGAAGGTTTTATAAAAAGCACATATAGGTGGAGAGTGGTTTACTGTAAATAAAAATAAGCTAGCATGGAAAAGCACACAGTATAAAATTGCCACTAGATAGTAAAGCTTAAAAAATGTTAGAACTAAATTTGAACCTAGATCAGTACATTTAAAGGCATCAGGATTATTTTTGTGTATTCTTTGGTAATCAGTTCTGTTCAGTTCAGTTGATCAGTCATGTCCAACTCTTTGTGACCCCATGAATGGCAGCACACCAGGCCTCCTTGTCCATCACAAACTCCTGGAGCTTACTCAAACTCATGCCCATTGAGTCGGTGATGCCATCCAGCCATCTCACCCTCTGTCATCCCCTTTTCCGTCTGTCCCCAATCCCTCCCAGCATCAGGGTCTTTTCCAATGAATCAACTCTTTGCATCAGGTGGCCAAAGTACTGGAGTTTCAGCTTCAGCATCAGTCATTCCAATGAACATCCGACACTGATCTCCTTTAGGATGGACTAGTTGGATCTCCTTGCAGTCCAAGGGACTCTCAAAAGTCGTCTCCTACACCACAGTTCAAAAGCATCCATTCTTTGGCACTCAGCTTTCTTTATAGCTCAACTCTCGCATCCATATATGACCACTGGAAAAACCATAGCCTTGACTAGATGGACCTTTGTTGGCAAAGTAATGTCTCTGCTTTTTATATGCTATCTAAGGTTCACGTATTGCTGAAGCCTGGCTTGGAGAATTTTGAGCATTACTTTACTAGCATGTGAGATGAGTGCAATTGTGTGGTAGTATAAGCATTCTTTGGTATTGTCTTTCTTGGGATTGGAATGAAAACTGACCTTTTCCAGTCCTGTGGCCACTGCTGAGTTTTCCAAATATGCTGGCACAGAATCCCTCATTTATATTACATTTTGCCAGCAAAATTGGGAGCACAGTTCTTTGGGAGACATATTATATCATGATAAGCAATTTAATATTAGTTCTTATCGAAATATAATCATGTACTTGTTTATTGCTTATATATTTATGCAAGAGTTCATATTTAATTAAATTGCAGTTCTTAAATTCAGAAACCAATGTAACATTTTAGAGAATAATTTAATTAAGAATCTGTACAGAAGAAATACATAAATATTGTCCTATAAATATGCTTAGAGCAAAAAGTAATTTATAATAAAGTTTCAGAAGAGCTGAGTCTACCAATAGTATCAGAGAAAAATGAAAAAGGCCTTAATTTTTTAAAATTATTTAAAATATGTGAGCTTTCATATCATATTTTTACTTTTTTAACAAAAACCCCAATTTTTTATTATGTCTATTTCTTGATTTTTTAAAAAATTATTTTTATTAGTATTGATTAAAGCATTTGTTTTGGTCAGACTTAAATACAGAATATATAAAAACACAATTTTAAATGGCTATGATTTAAAAGAAAAGGTTTGCCTATTCTACATTGAGTTAAATATATAAGTAGTCTCAATTAATAATTTCATATTAATAGAGATTAAGTTGTTCCCATTGCTTTTGCTATAATGAGCAACATGGTTATTTTCTGGCTCAAATGTACAAATGTATCTCTACATTAAGTGTGTACTTATGAGTATAATTTCTGAGTAATAACAGTCAAAATTAAATTTCAAAATATTGTGCCATATGGTTTGAAAACTATCTTATCACTTTAAATGTCCACAACTTGTGTACATTATATTCCATTAGTTCTACAAATCTAAAGGGTATAAAAAGTGAAGACTTTTTTGCATTTTCTTCATTAGTAATCAAATTATCTTTTTATGTTTGCCATTTATGTTCCTTTTCAGGTTTTCTGAACCATCAGTACTGTCTTTTTCTGAAAGTTTTCCATTATACAAAACCAAAACCTGTTACCATTAAGCAATAACTCCTTGTTTTCCCTTTTCTCCCTTATCCTGGTAACTTTCAATATGTTTTCTAACCCTACAAATTTGCATATTCCAGATATTTTATGTAAGTGGAATAACACAGTATTTGCCCTTTTGTGTCTGATTTACTTCACTAAGCAAAGTCTTCAAGGTTCATCTGCACTGTAGTGTGTATCAGAACTTCATTCCTTTTATGGTTGAATAACAGTCCATTTGTTTGTTGTTCAGTCATTCAGTTGTGTCTGACTCTTTGTGACCCCATGTACTGCAGCATGCCAGGCTTCCCTGTCTTTCACCATCTCCTGGAACTTGCTCAAACTCATGTCCATTGAGTCAGTGATGCCATCCAACCATCTTGTCCCTGTCATCCCCTTCTCCCCCTGCCTTCTATCTTTCCCAGCATCAGGGTCTTTTCTAATGAGTCAGATCTTCACATCAGGTGGCCAAAGTGTTGGAGCTTCAGCTTCATCATCAGTCCTTCCAGTGAATATTTCAGATTGATTTCCTTTAGGATTGACTGATTCATACTCCCTGCAGTCCAAGGGACTTGCGTGTGAAAGTGAAAATCGCTCAATATTCTGGGAGGTGGGTCATAGAAGATCTGGCTGTGATTTACGTCGGAGAGTGTTTTGCCTATGTTCTCCTCTAGGAGTTTTATAGTTTCTGGTCTTACATTTAGATCTTTAATACACTGAGACAAGTGCTCTGGCCTGGTGCATTGGGAAGACCCAGAGGAATCGGGTGGAGAGGGAGGTGGGAGGGGAGATTGGGATGGGGAATGCATATAAATCCATGGCTGATTCATGTCAATGTATGACAAAAACCACTACAATGTTGTAAAGTAATTAGCCTCCAACTAATAAAAATAAATTAAAAAAAAAAAGAAAATCGCTCAGTCGTGTCCAGCTCTTTGCAACCCCATGGGCTATACAGTCCTGGAATTCTCCAAGCCAGAAAACTGGAGTGGATAGCCTTTCCCTTCTCCAGGGGATCTTCCCAACCCATGGGTCGAACTCAGGTCTCCCGCATTCCAGGCAGATTCTTTACCAGCTGAGCCACAAGGGAAGCCCAGTACTATAGTTCGAAAATATCAGTTCTTCAGTGCTCACCTTCTTTATGATCCAATTCTCCCATCTATATAAGACGACTGGAAAAACCATTGCTTTAACTATACAGACCTTTGCCAGCATCTCTTCTTTTCAATATGCTGTCTAGGTTTGTCATAACTTTTCTTCCAAGGAGAAGCGTCTTTTAATTTCATGGCTGCAGTCACCATCAGCAATGATTTTGAAACCCAAGAAAATAAAGTCTGTCACTGTCAGAGGAAATAAAGTCCATTGTACCTTTATACCTAATTTGGTTTAACCATTATTCAATTGATGGACACTTGGTGTGCTTCCATCCTTAACCTGTGATGAGTATTGTTATTATGTAGATTGGTGTAAGAGCACCTATTTGAATCTCTGTTTTCAATTATCGTATATATGCCTAGGGGCAAAATTACTGGATCATAAAATTAACATTTTGAAGGACTACCAAGCTGTTTTCCAGAAATTTTGAACATTCAAAATTTCTACCAGGAATTCATGAGGGTTCCAACTTCTCTATATACCTCACTGCTTTTTGTTTTGTTTTGTTTTTATCATATCCATTCTAGTAGGTATAAAGTTTTAGCTTACTGTGGATTTAATTTCATCTCTCTAATTAATGATGTTGAATACTTTTAATGTACTTATTAGCCATTTGTATATGCTTTTGGTAACTGTCTATTTAAGTCCTTTATCCTCTCTAACATTGTTTCTCTTTTACCTCTTTTAAATTAAGTCGTTTGTTATATTGTTGCTGAATTGTAAGAGCTCTTTACATATTCTAGATATTAATCGCCTATCAGCTATATTGTTTACACATATTTTCTCCCATTGTGTGAATTATCTTTCCATTCCTATGATAGTGTGCTTTGATGTCCCCAAAATTTTAATGTAATGAAGCCCACTTTATATATTTTTTTATTGCTGTTGCTTGCGTTTTTGTATCATATTTAAGAAGCCATTGCAAAATGCCATATCAAGTTATTTTTCTTTTTTCTTTTATGAATTTTATACTATAAGCACTTAAATTTAGGTTTTTGATCCATTCTGATTTAACTGTTGTATACAGTACAAGTAAGAATCAAATTTCATTCTTTCTGCATGTGGCTATTCAAGTTTGCAAGCGCCATTTATTGAATCTCCTGCATTGCAGGTGGACTCTTTACCATCTGAGCCACCAGGGAAGCCCAAATACAAGAAAACCTCGCCTTATTGCACTTTGCTTTATTGTGATTGGCAGATAATGTATTTCTACCAACTGAAGTCCTGTGGCAAATCTGTGTTAAGCAAGCCTATCATTACCATTTCCTTTAAAAGAGCATGTGTATACTTTATGTCTTTGTGTCATGTTTTGATATTTATCACAATATTTCAAATATTTTTATTACCCTTACATTTGTTATGGTTATCTGTGCTCAGTGACTTTTGATGCTACTCTGTAATAGTTTTGGGTAGCTACAAACCATACCCACTTAAAACTGTAAACTTAAACGATAAACAGCAAATGCATTCTGACTGCTCCACTGACAGGCTCTCCCCCATCTTTGTCTTTCTCTTTCAGCCTCCCTATTCCCTGAGAGACAATAACATTGAAATTAGGCCAACTAGTGACCCCACTCCAGTACTCTTGCCTGGAAAATCCCATGGACAGAGGAGCCTGGTAGGCTGCAGTCCACGGGGTTGTGAAAAGTAAGACATGACTGAGCGACTTCACTTT